ATCTGGCCCTTACAAGAATTCTGCAATCATATACCGATAGAGCTCATCGCTGTACCGTTAAGATCAAATTGGACTTGGCTTAAATTGGCTAGACATTAATTCCACGTGATAAAATAATGAATAATACGGTTTACCTACCTGCCTAAAGATAGGTATATCAATGATTTTTGCAGTAAAATATGTGCCTACTATTGCTTATCAAGGATTCTTCAACCCAGTATTACAGTTATCAAAATCAGTGAAACAGCGATTTTCTTATCAACCAGACAAACAGCTATATTGAAGTATAGACGGTTAACTTCTAATCGATCTAAGCGATTGCTTTTCCATATTTGATATAAATCAATAATATATTGACTTTAAAATAAATTCAATACAACTGATTCATGGAATTTTCGTTAGACTGACAATATCTTTAGACTGACAGCCTCCATTTTGAGATGAAACCCCTTCAAGTTAAATTGGAGCAGTAAAATTCGTCCACATGAATTTTCCTAATGGATGGATAATTTTAAATACATTATGATGTCATTAAGAAAGGCTGGTGAATAATGGGCAATCAACTAAAACGTTGTCTTACGTCATATATATTTAGCCATTTTTTCAGTCTGTAAATTTATTAATTTTGGTATCATTTGTCAGTTTACTTTTACATTGTATAGACGTTTGCACATCCGATTACCATAATATATTAAATTAGACCAGTTGATTTAAAATTCTACCCTCAAAATATAAGTTTAAAATTAAGTGGAGTTTGAGACTACTTTTTAGATATTTACTCGTATAATAAATTTTAAGTTAAATCTAATTCATAATTTGTATGGGAATCGATAAAACAATAAATAAACTGTGTTGAAATATATTTTCAAATTTTCTTAATGATAATATTTTTTTTTATCTAATCGATATTACATCACCATAAATTACCCTTGGTGTGCGGACCGTGTCTCTCGGGTCATGGCGCGTCGACGTCCTTAGGCTGCGGTCGTATATCACGAGACACGGCATGCGACATCTGATTGTTTTGCTTATACTTTGGTTTGGGGTAATATTCCATTCTAAAGTGTGTCTATGGGTTTTCTGAATGTACAAAGACTATAACCAAATGACAAAAAAAACACTTTCAGAGGACAAAAGTGATGTAATCGTAAATTGAATATTATCTAGCGCAAAAAAGACATTGAATGGCCGAGCCCGATTTATTGTTATGTTGATAAAATATAGCTTATACTTAATTAAGTTAACAAACAAAGGAAACATAGAAGAAATTGAAGGTGTAATTGAAAATACGAAAAATTTAAGAAAAAGTATTTTCACGATATGTCAAAAGTTAAACGCCATATACTATTAAAAAAATCCGAAGTTAATCCGTTCAGAATTGTTAACATTTGAGGCGAAAAAATATTGATCACTTTGTTATTATTATCATTATTTGCATTAGACATCCAACGGAGATTATTACCTACTTTAAAAAACACAGGCATTGCAAGGTATCCGTATTTATTTTATATTGTGGGCACTCTTTTCGATCTCAAAACTATATTTCCTTTATTACTAACGACAGCAATAATTCTACATGTTTAACGTTATTTAATAAAATCGACAAAGGCGCTTTAAATCTTTGTTTAACAGTAAATTTGCAACTAAAAATCAGCTACACAAATTTTGACATAATCTAATTAAACACATTTTTAAATAGAGTTTAGTTATCTCATTCAATTAGAATTTTACAACCCTCTGCACACCTTATAGAAAATAATAGATCCAATACACTTAATTATAAAGCGTTAAAGCTGCCAACGTTGAGGACGCTAGGTGTCACTGAAATCGTTCGCATAGCCAATGCTCTTACTACCCCGGGAATAAAAACCTGAAACTTCAATTGGTATACAAACGTGGTCCAGATTAATGATATAACAGTTATTCCCGTTTTCACTAAATTAAGTAGTTGCCCAAATCTGTCGCTTAAATAATAAGGAATCGTCCAAGGTAAATATGCATTTCACTAATAACCAGGAAACGAACGACATTAAGCAATATCCAAAGTTATAACATGCATTACGTGGCGCCTTGCGCTAGGCATTTGTGTAATATGACAGATCATATCATCAGATCTGTTAAAGGGAAATAGGAGAAATGTTTATTTGGAACTAATTTGTTGGGGCGGTCCGTAAAATTAGGCCTAGTCATGGACCAACCTAGTTCAAGGTTAGTGAAAACGATGTAAGTATCTAAAATACCATACAATTCGAAATATTTATGTATATTATCTACACTTGAATCGACATAGCATTGAAAAAATATAAACGATAGACTGTTGCACACATAGGAAACCAATCCTTAATAAGCCACACAAAGTTCTGAGCAATTAGGAGGTGAAGTTTAGAGTAGAAATAAAATTGTACGTTAAACTTTCTGTGTCCAAGTAAAGCTGGTTGATGCGACGTACCGAAAACTTTCTGAGCCCACTTAAAACACGGAGACTAACGGCGTTTTAAATATGGTTCTCACTAAACGAAGTATGGAATTTAAATTTAAATATTTTAAAGTCAATTGTTTTTTTTTTATTTTATTCGCGTCAGTAAAATTATCTTCGATATAACTATGGATTATTTAGACACATAATTATTAATCTTTTAATTGAAATCTTATGGAATTTCTTGTATCTATTCTAATCGACAGTTATGCGAAATTAAAACGAAGGGTAATTTTACCAGTTTATATATTCATTTAATATTTTTATTTGGGCGATTATCAATGAAATGATTGTATAAATGAGCAGTGTATTTTTTATTTTATAAATAAATAGTTCATTAATATCTGAGAAATAATGTAATATTGTCATAGACTTTAAATAGTAAATGCGAGGTCAGCTGGATAGTTGGCAATGGATGAACAAATGAAATCAGTAGGTAACTTTGGTCAGCACTGTATTTCAATAGTATGTAAACTTTATTAACTTTATTTAATTAGAATTTTTTTTTGTCACAAATGTTGCAACACCAATATACTAAGTATCATAGTGTAATGATAAGGGAAACCTATTATTGGCCATACTTATAGTTAAGTTTTTTATGTAAAATATTATTTATGTAACGCTGTTGGTTTTCTCAATAAATAAATAGACTTCGAATTGTTTCAGAACTATTGCACACTGTCAAACAGTAAATATGTGATACTCTTATTTTATGACATCTGTTACATCATATTTCTTTGCAATAAATGATTGATTGATTGATAGATATGGTGCTATGTTTGTGGAACTGCTGCTAGTCGGCCGAAAACACTCCCTACAAATACAACGCACTAAGTGACGTCACATGGTGCTACGGTAATGTAAAACGTATGGGCGTCTGGGCAACTTTTGTAATATCTTTCTTATTTGCGCGTTTATGTTTATAGCTGTTAAATGGAAGCTGTAACGTTATATGTAACTTATTTAATTCTATAAGTATCTTTGCAAATCTTTGTAGTATATTTCCCTAATTTTTTCAAGTATTCAAATCATAATATTTTTCAAATAAGTGTCATTAAATTTATTTTCCTAATTATTTATAAGTTAAAATGGTTAATTTTCACTTGTAGGGTACAAGCCTATTCACGGCATTGATATGAAACATTTTTGTACCTTCCTATGATTATCATACTATTTAATTCATGTTCTTCGAAAAGGCGTTTTTCGTTTATTCATTCTTTTTTATTATTTTCGCCTGCATACGCATATCTCGCCTACATTTCATAGTTTTATACTTTTATTATTAAGTATAGCAAGTGTATGCGTGCAATTTGTGTCGCTGATGTGCAAAACCACATCACTGTAATAAAAGGTATTGATACCTATTATAAGTATAAATGTTGTCCTTCACGGATGAGGCAACCCATATAAGTGATACTACTTGCTATATACCATTGGAGTGCGCAGTCATTATTCGAAGATTCATCGTGGTGTACAGACGTTACACTGTCACTCTGTTGTTATGCGTACATAAACTTACTTATTTTAATTACAAGGAGTTGTTTTACTAGTTGCTTGGAGTAATTGCTGTTCTAGGTATTATGGTTTTAACTTTTATAATAAGGATATCAGTGTTTGGATTACATTATTATCTTACTAAAATTATAAAAGTTTTATGTTATAATAGTTTATTTTCATAATTTTGATTAGAACAGTTCAATATCGTACCCATGCTAATAAAACCTGTTACTGTCCATTTTTATATAGTCTAGAGAAAATTTTAAGCTGTGCTTACTCGTAAAATCCTTTTCGTATCGCACTCACGGTGATGAAACCTTTTAAGTATACGTAAGTAAAACCTTCAAAAATCTAAAAACTAATCTAACTTACGAAATTTCGAATTACGATCTAAAATAGAGATGATGACTGTTTAGAAAAAATAAATTATATGTAGACGGACTACAGTAGTCAGATAACAGTAATATATTAGATACGTATTATTTTTACTTCAATTTAACAAGAAATAGCTCAGATATCAGGCATTAAAAGATGAGTGGAAGCTCGTTTTGTAGAAAATGTACAAAAGCGTGACGTCATGTGACATTTTAACACAATATATCGCCGCAATTTAATGAACACGATAAAATTAAAAAAAAATAATTCGTGCATAATATTTTTCAACAATCTACCTTGCTTAGTAACAAACAAAATTTAGTCGTCATCCCTATTCAAGTTAACAAAAGTTCCGAGAGTATTACAATTATTTACAGTTATTTGTTTCACCAAACCTCTATCGCTTTTGTCATCAAAACAATATTCATTATATCATGAGATATTCATGTAAACAATAAACAAAGCACGGGTTATTAGTCTTCTTCAAAATACGCTTTTCATAAACAGAATAATTAATTACGTGTTTCAAGGGTGATTACTTAACTCTGTTCGTTGTAAAACACAATTTTAACTCTACTTTCTTATAATGTTTTGGTGACATTTATAATTATATTAACATTATTAAGTCCTTAAATAAGACAAATTAGAAATAAGTTAAATTGATTTTATTTCTAATTAGTTTTGTAAACAATAACAGGTATTATTAACAATTTAATATATTGATATTTCATTGAATTATCAGAAACTGAACAAGACTGTCGTGTTTCTCAGAACCTAATATTACACACATTTATATTTATTGTATTTCCAAAAATATTTAGACAATTATTAATTTGATTTAGTTAAAACATTGATTTTAACTAGTCTTCTGTTTACCAACAAAATTGATCTTTATACATTTATAAACTTTACAGGTTACGTAACTCAAAATGCTAAGTAAAATAACAGTGACAGATAAAAGGGTTAATAATAGTTCCAACTCGAAGTATTGGTACCAACTAATGTTTGCTCCTGGAGAGCGTAAATGACGAGCTCCACCATTCCTTATAACATACTCTGTCCACCAGACAGCTCGTTCTAATGGTGTTTGAGGTTGGTCACGCATTACTGTTCGTAAGCGTAACATATTTTGACGGTAACTGAAAAATAAAACACAAACATTAAAACTGTAACAGCTTTCACTACATGTATTACATTACCCTATTGAAATTTTGTGCTCTGCCAACCCAAATATCCAGCGGCTTTGAATTAAAAACTACTCGAAATCGATTTAAGTAATTAATATCATAGCTTAAAATCGGTATCAAACCAAGCCATAATCAATCGTTGAACTAAAGCACTGTAGCATTTACATAATTGTTAACTAGATTACAAAGGTATTTTAATACGCATTTCGAAGAAAAGGCTCCTGGGTTTCTTTTTTGCTTTTTGACACGGTATCCTTACAGAGACTAACAATATAACTTATTGAGTTATGGGACTAGTAAAGGTTTTGATTGATCCGACTGTTAGACGAAAAATAATGTTAATTGTTAATAGTTTTTATTCGTTTAGAATGAAGAGAGTTACAAATATTAATACGCACAAACACTGATACATAAGCGATATACCTATCATTATTAAGAACTTCATCGAGGGCTTTTTGAAAGTTGTCTTCTGTTATAGTTTCCAGCTCCAAGCGGACACCAACTTTATGGAATACATATTGCTCCACATTGTACCATTGGTCCCCTAACATTGGCATTCCAATAACGGGTACACCTGCTGTTATAGTTTCATCAGTCGATTGCAAACCTCCTTGGGTGATGAAAAGCTTGATTTTTGGATGTTCTGTAATTAGGATTTTTTTTTATAGTAGATGTAATATATTGATGAAGAGGTTATAATTTAACAAGTGATGTGACAAAAATAGTGTTTACAACAACTCGACCTATGCTAATATTTAAAGTACACCAGAGAAGTCATTTGTTGTGCATAAAGATTCCTATATAGGATTTTATGAGCAATCAACACTATGTTAGTCAGAATTCGTTAAATAGTTCTTGATGAAAAAATCAGACTTGCGGTGGTTTGTACTATTACTATCTTCACATTAGACCCTGGATATTATCTCGGACTCTATTGGTTTTCTTCGTTTAATTATAAAGGTCCTATGATTATCTTTCAGCTCTATCATCAATACACTTATTATGTTGTCATCCAATTGGCAAGTATTTACTCATACTAACACTAACATGGCAAGACAAATAATAGTTTCTAATGAACTTACTCAAAAGGTCTGACTGTGGTAGCCATTTGGAAATTTTGATATTTGATGTCCGGCCAGGCAACTCATCAGTATTCCATTTCCACAGAATATCATATGGCAATTTCGCAAGTACATTAACCATCGTCTGTATTCTATTAGGAGGCAGAAGTGAGGGGTTCACGTTGGTGCCAAAACTGATATAAATTACACCGTTTTTAGATGAATCTAAATATTCTTTGAGATCCTATAACAAAATGACACCGTTAAGCATTTTTATTTAAAAGATAAGGAGAATTTTAAAAGTCTCTTTTCTGAGATGGAGTTATATAAGGATATATATTAATTAATCTTAATTGTATTGTTTCTTGATGAGTTAAAAAAAGATTTTGATTGCATACCTTTGGCAGTTCTTTTTCAGGATTTTGATGTAATCCTCCCATGTATATAACGTTAGGTGGCACTGGACGATTTAATTCCCAAATTGGATGCACATTCAAAAACAACATATCAACATTATTTTTTAATTCATTTAAATCAGGCAAATCGGATCCTAACGTTTCCTTTAGTTGTAAAACAGCTTCTTCATCGGTTGCATGAACAATGTATTGAAAGTAACGTTGCATGTAAAATTCTGATATCTTTTCCAAATACGTTAAATTGTAAACTTTCTGATGATCGATCGTCGGGTACAAAATAGGGTGTGTTGAAGCTCCAACAACTTCTAGATTATCTAAAGTCGATCCAAATGAGCTGATCTGTATTACAGGTGCTTTTATCACATGTGTAAGTGCTAGAAGTGGATTTAAATATGCTTCGAGTAACAGTAAGTCAAATTTTTTACTTTTATTTTTCAAAATGTTTTGCACTTCAACAGAAGTGATTTGGTCGCGAAGTACATCCATTAATATTTTATACATTAGTATATTTTGCTCCTTAAAATCATCTTTACTTCCTTGAGTCACCGAAGATTTCACGAAATTTTGTCTCCAACGTTGATAAGAGCGATCGTGGAAATCTATTTCAGTTAGGTTGGCTGGAACTTTCCCTTTAGGGAATATGGGATCCGTTGTAATAACAACTACTTCGTGGCCTCTTTTGAGTAATTCTATCGTTAAAGGTCGAAAAACCACTTGATGGCTGATAGACGGAGTAGGATATACAGCCAATATTCTTGCTGCATCGTTCTCATAGACCAATGATACCGCTAATAACACTAATAATCTAACAACAATCATCTTCACTTAAAAAAAAAACTATTGACTAGGTCGTGATGAAATTGTCTGCACTGTAAGATGATAAATTTATATCGCGATTGAATATTTCAATATTTTTTTAATTTCAAATTGTACTCGTAATTTAACATTGCATTAAATCGTAAGGTGATACGAAACTCACTGGGTCAGCTGATATTACTATAAAAATAAATGCGAGTACTCTTCACAATGTAAACCACTTGAATGAATTGAATAAATACGAATATGTATACATGATACAAGATTTACTTACGTCATGATTAAAGGTCAGTACATATCGAGACATGATAGTGATTACATTTTATTAGCTTCATAGCTTTGCACTGCATGCATGGTACACAGCTTAAATGTTACGAATTTTTATAGCCTCTGTTCAATGATCACAAACCTTCCAAACAATCGAAAATACATAAAAATGTAACAAAACAAACTGATTGATTTACATATTATTTAAGTCGCGGGAATCGTGTATCCGCGCCTTATATTGATATAATATGTACGGGTATAAAGCGTCTCAAGGCCTTCAGCTTTGAGTCTACAATTATTTTGATTAAGATTTATAATACCAGACATGCAAAAGCGACAAGTCCTAGAAGATAATACAAATTATACTCTTTTATTTCTTACAAAAGATTTAAATTGCCTTGCTAAAGACGATTGGTTAAGTTTCGCGTGGCTATTTTTAGTTCAAGATATAGGTAGGTCACGGTTAAGATCTGTAAGCCCTTAATTTTATAAGTAATAATTATGTTATTTTTATATTGTGCTACACCGTAGCAATTATTGTGACCGGTTGATTTGATTTTATGGTAATAGAGTAAAGGGTAAAGAAGAAACCTCTTTGCGTTTCCTTCAATCTACAAACTTGGAAGATATTTCAAAATATAATTATATTTTAAATAATATATAATTACTATTTTAATTATATTAACTTCATTGTTATAAAATTTTATATTTGAATTTATACGATTACTATAACATGTTCGGACAGATCATTTTTTTACGAACTGACATTCATAAAAAGCATATTTGATTAGTCAAAATTCAAATTACGAAAGATGAATAATAAAAGAAATGATGTTATATATCAAAGACAAAAAGTTTGCATGCGGAAACCTAGGACGAAATAAACGGTGGTACGGCGCACCGTTACAATATAACATAACTTTGTATTACATAAATATAGTAAGTGGATTTGATTTAATCGAATTTAATAAGTTTTATTCTTCGATAACGACGAAGGTTCGAGTCCTATCTCAGAGTACCTGGAGCTGTTGTATTCTTTAAGTATTTTTGGCTAAGAATATTTTCTAGTATAGCATTGTGAACGGAAAATTGATAAAATATATTCATTTCTAAGTTTTAATACATTATTTTTAGTTTATCGGTTTGATTACAATACTATGATTTACAATGCCTAATAAGGAGTAAGTTTAAACAAAGCATATAAACTAATTACATGGAGACATCACTTTCATTTTTTCATCTTTTTTGCGCTTGTTCTTTAAAACAGAGATCACGTGTTCTTTAAGCAGAGATAAATAAAACGGCGGAGTTACATATCAGATCTTGGATATTATATCGTATCAAAGTCTTCATCAAGGTATTTTCCCTTTGTTGTTAAAATATATCAAATAATATATTGTTTAAGATAGTTTTTCACAATTCATAATAGTTTTACACTCGCATTTCGCAGAATACTTGCGGAGTCATGAATGTCTGGTATTGGTTTTATCTTTACACACATAGAGATAACGTCCGTATTACGACACTTCATTTAAAACGTCAGGGATGACATGACATGGTAGCAATCTCGAGAATAACTACCATTCTAATATATCAAATACTGGATTTTTTTTATCTGCTATCATTTGACTTTGTATCTCTGTTCTATGTCAAACCAATTTCCGTCTGTATAATTTGCTAAAATGATAACAAAAAATCACACTGATTTGCATGACTTGCTGTTTTTGCAGACAAATATTATCTTGTCTGACAAAAAATTTTACTTTACTGTTATATCAATATATTTTTAAGTGATACAACACAAACTCTACATACCTACTACCTACCTACCTACTTAATTTTAAGAATAGGGTTGTGTCCTACAAGTGAAAGTTTCTGTTATATCTTCGGAAAATATGAACCATTTTAATTGCCAAATATTTAACAAAATAAATTTTATGGGACTAATAAGGAGAATGTTACGCTTTGAAAACTTAAGTATGGAAAATATATTACAAACATTTGTTAAAATACTTATGCCATTAAATTATTTACATATATCGCAACAACTTTCGTTATAACAGCTATAAACATAGACTCACAAATAACAAAGATTGCCCAGACGTCTGAGCAATCTTTGTTATTTGTAATACGGTTATCGCTACCATAGTTTTCGTTACCTGTGTGACATCACTTGGTGGCTTAAATTTGTAGGGAGCTTTCTCGGCCGACTAGCAGCAGTGCCACGAACTAGCACCGTATTTCCGAAACTATCAATCGCAAACATGCTGTTGCTTCTACATTATTTCTCAGGCCTTAATGGATAGTTTATTTATAAAATAAAAACAAATGTCAACTAGCCTATTTGTATAAATAAAATAAAAACATTTTAATATGGTAGGTGTTTTCAAAATTGTTGATCATAGTAGTGTGTAAAATAATTATTTTAAAATAAATTTATTTCTTTGAATAATAAATATAATATAATTATTTTAAATCGATTTTCTGTTCATGAGTACAATAGGTATTTGAAAATTTTTCGTGATTTCTCTTATTATAAAATGGTCCCATAGTCTTTTCATCCCCACATGAACTTTTATTTAATCTTTTACTTATAAATATTACCATATTTTTTCCAAACTGCGAATGCAGTTCAGTAATATTTTAAAAATGAATGGATTCATAGGAATGTATTCATATAATTGAAATGATTAAGGTAGCCCTTGATATCCCGTCGTATAAATCCACCATGTATATATAGTAACTAAAACATCACAATAAAAATAAAAGTAAAAAAAAATACAATAAATTGTATCGTTATTATGGTTGAAATTCCTTTGTCTATTTGAACGAACAGCAACATTATGAAAACAAAATCGTGTAGGCACATCATAACACTGTCGATCGCATTTCATCTGGTTACTCGAAATTCATTTTTGAATGCAAACGTTGGGTTTATTACTGGCAATGTGAAACGTTATCTGCTTTATGCACAGTCGGTGAAATTGAGCCCAAGCTATTCAGAGCGCCATTATGAAATCTCTAGTATACTTTTTATTAACTTGCTCAAATGAATTTATTCTTTATATATTACTACATATTGTTGTAATAAAAGGATAGTGTTTTTTCATAATACAGACAGATCATGTTGTATAAGAAAAAATTGGCATGATGAATTTTCATTTGCGAAAAGCATACATACCAATCCTGTCAATGACTGAACGTACGATTAAAATTTATAATGAGTTTCAATAACCATCTTTTTCTTCTTCCATGAGTCAGATGGAATCAGAGATAATCGTTGGTGATTCATACATAAGTTTGTTCAGCCAGATCTTTGCCAACGGTTGTCTACGACTAGGCCATTTTTAAATCAGAAAAACAAAACCAAGAGTATACTCTTTAAACCAATTTTCTGTCCATATCTAATAAATTTCATTATTTTCATTTTTATCAAAAGTACTTAATGTAGAGCAGAATATAAATAATGGGTGTACACACCCTGACTTTCTTAAAGGAGTACTTATGCCAAAAGATTTAAATACATTTAAGCTTCTTGGCTACTGCTATAATGTCTAAATAGCGTGCCACGATGATTTTCCCCACCTTCTTGGTAAATAGCTTTGACTTGCTTATTATTTATCTGTTAAATTGATATGAAGTATATCTAATTTAATTCATTACCTAAATGTCCTTGTAGTGTTGTTGACAGTTCGATCGAGGATAGTTATATTCTACATTGTGTCGATGACATCCATTTCCAATAGGCTTTGAAGAGGGTCTGAATCCTGAGGTCTGAATTAACACAGTCAAAGGATTGTCTATCGATTTTTTTTCTGTTCAAGGATGTACGGTGCTTTCATGGCCCCTTTGGGTTCATTGTACAGGTTATAAACTCCGGGATATTTTTCATTGCTCTTTTAAAATGAAATTTAGTATATCAAATGTTTTACTAGAAAATAGTAAGAAAACACTTCTGCGGGTCAATTCTGTTAATGTTAACGTAATAATCACATCTCAATGGAATTTCAACTTGGACCTGTGTTTACCATTGTACTATACACTTAAAGTCTAATATTATAAGCGCAATGTTTTCTTCACACATGGAAAGGTGACAAAAATATAATAATATTTGATTTCAAGAAGATAACATAATGGCAAATGCAAGTAGTCGAGATCCTATCGAGATGCGATCATTTTACATAAACATTAGCAGAATAGACCTACTGGACGTTTTTTCGATTCATCTCAAAGTTCTTAATTTGATATGCTTATGCAATATTGAATCTTTTTTTATCATTAGTTAATCTTTACTAATGAGGTAAGACTTGATATTTGTCTCCAATGAATAGGCTCCAGAACGACACCACCAATTTTAAAAATACTTTCTATTATGACAAAAATATAATTCTTAGTAATATGAAGTTCTTGTAGAATTCAAATTGGAATTTATACCTTTATCTAGAGTGGACAATCGGAGTAAGGAGAGGTAATATTTACACAAGTTATCTTTAATTATAAATCATTGTTCAAACCGCTACGCACTAACGGTCATTGATATTCAAACAAATTAACGTATAAAGGCGAAGTGAAAAGCTAACACCTGGTTGATCAAATATCTGTCATGAGCATATGCTTCTAAGACTTGAAAAGGGTCAGAGACAATAATCTCAGGAATCGATTACTCACTCACATTAATTACAACATGACTAAACCCATTATTTAGAAATTATTCAAGTTAAAGTGATTTTAATTAATAAGATACATTATTAAATTGAAAAATAGTTTTATGCGCAACATTTTCTCGATTAGTAGCGCATAATTATGTTTTAAGATTAATAAGTAGTGATAAAAAGCAACAAGCAACACATTAGGTAATAAATTATAGCATATTAAAGTATATTATGAACATAATACTATGCGGCTTGCGTATTAACATTTAAGATGTAACACAAGTATAATGGAGGAAAATCTAGAACACTACTTCATTCAATAACCGACTTTTAATACAAAACATATAAATTTCTTTGAACAGTCAAGGCAATGCTCTCAGGACATTCTTCATTCTTAAATATAGGATGTGCTCGTCAATCCATGTTCTCAAAGTGGATATTTTTGCATATATACCAGGGTATTGTGGCCTAGCGCAGCCAAGACCCCATGATACTACGCCAGCAAGTTTGTTGTTGTGAACTAATGGACCACCACTATCTCCCTGAAATACAGAAAAAATATTACATCTTAACAAAAGATAATAATATATACAGTCCCACCAAAAACATAAATGTCAAAATCGGTAGACAAGTTCAATATGTCTAAGTTAAATATGGTGTGATTGTCGGCTCCACCTATAATAGTATTGATAAGTAAATGAGTGCCGAGTTGAGTAAACAGTCCTGAAATGTTTTAATTTACAAAATCTTTAATATTAGTAAAAGAACAATATTTTTATTCTTTACTTGAAATAGGAGAATTAATTTCAATTATACGTAATCCTTAAGATTATTTCACAACTTAACAGCAACAAATAATCTATGACATTCTATATTATTCAAATCATCATTCGTTCCAAAAGCAATTGTGACTTTAAAAGTTACACTATTCCATAAATCACTATAATAATCGCTATACGTTTGAAAATGATTGTGAAAGATTTGAAAAATTAGACAATAAAGTTCTATGCTTAGACTTGACTTGAGATGCTACCACATATCCTAATTAAAATATAATAGGGCACAGCAAAGAAAATTTTAGTTATATGGATACTAACAACTGCAAATGCAATTTTGTATTTCGTAATTGCTATCCCATCGTAAAACAAATCCATCACAACCATTAATTAATAAAATAGGATTTTAGGTTTTTATTAAATACTATTTTTACCTGGCAAGCATCTTTTCCACCTGTAGGTGATCCAGCGCAAAGCATCCTTGGAGTGATAGTGTATATCGGTGCATATGCTTTATTGCACATCTGTTCACTCACTTTTGGTACCATAACTCTTTGAAGAGTTGAAGGGAAGCCACCTCCTTCCTAAAATAATCGTCATAATTATTGTTGTAGGTAAATCATTCAAATTTGTTGCTTATTATTTAGAACTAGTAGTCATTTTAGTTCTTTTTACAATAAGCTCATTATAATGTGGGTCGGAACTTGGGTAAAATATCACTATGGTGTTTTTTTATCAGTAGCCGTTTCCTTATTTTGCAACATTATTTTAGCTTGAACATTTAATGACTGACAATGTTTAGAGGTACTGAAGTTTCAGGTATCTTAGTACCTTAGTAACAAGACAAGATTTTACTTTTCTGTTCACGTCTCTTTCAAACTCTACGGCTTACATTATTTAGTTACGTGTCTACACTTCCCTAGAGAGCAATTATTTTCAAGTGTATGTCTATTAATAACATGATATTATCTAATTTTATCAAACTAGATTTAACAGAGAAATTCAAGCATAATGTTATGATATTCAGAGCTAATGTTATGTACTGAGCACTTGGAAATCATTATGTGTAAAAATTTCATAAAATATTATTAGTTAAATTAAATATTACACAGTTAATCTAAAATATATTATTTTTTGTTTATTAAAATTTGTCCAGGAAATAAGTAATGAATATTGAGTTACTTGTGTTATTTTATTGAATTTGATGTATAACAATACACATTTTTTAATGACATCGTTAAAAATATTTATAGATTTATTTTATTATATAATATATTTAATATTTCTCTTCATCAACCATATCCCCACAATCTTCCCCATGGATGGAATCGAATAGGGAGAATGGCCCATCACGAGATCCCAATTTAGATTGATTGGTGTTAACGAACGCAAATACAGATCTGCTTAACTTAGCTTAGCGTATCTTCTGAATCACGAAGGAGGTCGAGATAATAAACTATTTAATTAAATAACTCATGAATGTGTGTGAGCGGGTTTAAATTTTAGAGTACACATTTGGATCCCATTAGAGGCTTCGTGACCACACAAATTAATGTACGTTATGTAAAACATGATAAGGTAAAATAAAGGCGCTATTTAATAAAACCAAACACTCACCCTTGTATTCCCCCAACCAGTCACTGTAGTATCATCTCCATCATCTATTTCATTCCCTAATTCATACATATCAATTGCAGCAATTTTTTCGTTGAATTCAAACGGTTTGGCCATCCAAATAACGGCTATATCGTTATCCATTTTTGAGTAACTGAAGTCGGGATGTGCTAATAAATCACCTACAGGATATAGTTCACCACCGTGTCCACTGAATGAAGACCCAGCTCGGATTTGATAGTTTGCCGGGTTGGATCTGATGAAATAGGAAATATATCAGATGACACTGTAATACATCAAGATCTTGAGCTAAGTAATATATAAAACTTATATCATGGAAAGTGGAAAAAACGAAGGTATCACAATAACAAGGTCTGAGGCAATATGTGAAGTTAATTTTTCTACATTAACATAATCGCGGATCAAACCAGTCAATGGCAGGAGATCACAGGTAGCGCAAATGCATCGATATTGAAACTTTCCAAAGTAAAAAAATAAATAAAAGGTTCAAAAAAAACAATATTAGCAAATTTGTATGTAATCGATGCAGCTAGAAATTATAATGAATGAAAAATTTTGATAAACACACAAAATTACATTTAAGATATATATTTAGAACCATATATGTATTATTATGATATTATACTATAGTCGAGTGACATTAAATAACATGGCCACGTAGTTTATGATATTTTAATAAGCATACCCCATAACGCAATGTGCAGCTGTTATAACAATATCGCTGGAGACTATGGTTCCTCCGCAAGAATGGCTACCTCTATTAACCAGTGAAACTTGATAGGGTGCATCTGTGATATCAATATCATCTCCTCCTACTATACGAGCATCTTCTTTTGCTTTTAGTGTTGGAGTTGACACTAAAAATATAATTCTAATATAATAACAAAAAATCTGTATAAAATATATATCTTTATATTTAAAAAAGATATTGGTCTACTAAAATTTGCATTAGCAAATTTTTTACTATCTATGTCATTATAATCTGTTCGCATGATACTGAATTATATCAAAACCTGAAAAATTACACTTAAATTTGTTATCACTTAAATCATAACGATTTTCAAGTCAATGTGCTTTTAAAATAACCATAAATTGATAACTTACCAACAACTCCTAGTACAGCAAAACTAATAAAGAGACGATACATAATGATGCGTTAAAGACTGGTTGTGTTCGGAGTTAATCAGATTACATTTATATACCCCAACAGATACAAAAAATATTGGGTCAACATAATTATCGTTTAACTGATAATTTGGAACCTTCACATCATTTAACTGATAAGAATAAATCTCAAGTTATAGATGAAGATCGCACTAAAGCGTTTGATAACAAAACAAGTATGGAGTGTCTATTGTTAATGGTTTGCGCAATATGTAAAGGTTAGATAAAAAGGTTTGAAGGAAAGTTCAGAGACATATCCACTTATTATAATTTAGGTTACTATGTTCAAAGTGTTCAATTGAATATTCTGCTACATTTAATAATATATTTGATTGTATTACTTTAGTAATAATCTAAGATGTTTTTTACCTCTGCATGCGAAAATCATGCAAAGGATTTTGAAAACTTTCGTTTATCACAATTTATATCATCTCAAAAAATTTCCATCTATAAAAAGTCACTATAAAAATTTCATCTAGTATTAGTTATCATGTGGAAATGATATATAAACAGAAATAAAGAAAAAATCATTTTTTTATTTTAGCGTCGTGAATTGTTACCCAATATTTGGCAGTATGTATAAGAATTGTTTATAATTAAAACCTAAAATCTATGACATAATGTTCTCTATATATCATAAAGAGGAAAAATCTGATTGTTTTCAGAAAATTGGATCGATTTTAAAATTGTTTCACCTACGTGAAGCTACATACGCTGGCACAACATAGACATATAACATACACATACACATAATAAACATACACATTAGACATAACATACACATTTTTATGTAAAAACGTCTAGTAGAATATAAAACGTAAGAGGCAAATATAATTAGATCTAAGTATTTTGTGGCGTGTGGGAATGATTGCCAGATATTATTACTACTTAATTATTTTTATCATAGTAAGTAAGCCAAGGTTCGAAGAGAATTAATTTTGCATTACGAAATTATGATATGATAAAAATAAAAATAATCTTAGATAATAACTATTAAAATTTATTGGTTTTAAATTCAAAAACTTGTCAATTGTTCAACATTGTTTAAGTTATCCGATTGATAACTTGAACAATGTTGATTATAGAATAAGTTTCAAATACCGATTTCTCACAAAGCAATATTCCGTAATGAGAATACAATGACAATTTTTTTTCCCATTGTAAAACATTGTGTAAGTAATTCTTTAGAGGAGGTATTATAACGGTGTGCCGTACCACCGTTTATTTTCCTAGGTTTCAGTATGCTAACTTTTTATCTTTGATATTCAACATCATTTTCTTTTTATTATTCACCTTTCGTTATTTGAAATTGTGACTAATCAAATATAGAGTATATTATATATATAGAGTATATTGTGGATGTCAGTTCGTAAAAAAATCTTTTGTTGTGAATATGTAAATCATATAAATTTAAAATTTATAATATTATAATTATGAAGATATGCGTCTAAAATAAAAATTATAAATAGAATATTATATAAAACTATATATTGTAATAGCGTCCAAGTTTTTATTGAGAAACCCAAAAAGAGATGTATTTGTTTTATTTAGCAATTTTAATTTTATATTTAGTTTAACATACGAACTGTTTTTATATCCATTTTTTGTTTGTTACAGTTTCTTTACTTTATCCTTTATACCATAAATAAATCCATTCTCAAGCTAGTCAGACTTTCATTAATTGGCCCAAACATCGAACCCGTCACAGTACCTATATAATTACGAGTTCTTGACTGAGAGCACTAAAAATTTATATAATTCTCTCATTAAAATGTACACGAGAACAAGCCTTTTGCTATCTTGAAATAGTATCCAAAACCAACACTTATTCAAATCATCCAAAATTAAATTAGTTTCGGCGCTAAAAGCAAAATCTTCTCGTTTCTTGTGATTTATTTCAATTTGCTTCTACAATTACTTACCGTCTCTTTTGATAATTTATTCCACTAAAAAATTTATAAAAATCCTTTGTTCTATTAACGAATTGTCAAGTTAAACGTAACCTCGGCTAACAACGGGTGTTTGCTGCATTAGAATTGTTAAGAGATGTTTACTTTTAATAAAGTAAATTGTAACACACCGCTTTATGGAAGGGAAAGTACAAAAAGTATTTGTTTTGCTCATTTTTTGTAATAAATGAAAGAAATATTTTGCGATCACATGTATATATTAGCATTATGTCCATCATTCTTTATGTTTGATATAGTGAGATTCGCAGGGATCTATATTAGACCGAATGTTGTTTATGTAATGTATTTTGTAAAAATCACTTTTTTCAAAGGAGGCATTCTTTTTCTGTAGACCAATTATTTTATTATAATCTAATATTATTGTAATGGAACTTTATTAATTAATTTACGAATACATGTTATTTTTTAATAAGAACACAACTGCTATTAAACAAAAAAAAAAGATCTATAACAGGACAGTGTGTCACTGAGCTTACCGTAGATTTTTATTCTAGTCTTGATTTCGCTTTTGGAGTTAGCTTTCCGTTTTAAAAGTTTTTATAACTTGCGATATTGTTTCCGATGTCGGTGTTTGTTTTGGCTCGTTGGCAACTTTTTGCGCCTTAGAGGATTACTTGTTTATATTACCTACGCTGGATGAAATTGCTACTCGATTTCTTGGAGGGCTTGCGTTTGCTGTATTTGGTTTTTTATAGAAAAAAAACCAAACGAGAAATTATTTAATTATTATTATACAGGTATTTATTTAGAAACAATATAGTCAAAGGAACATCAAAAGTTATTGATAAGAATAAAGAAAGAAGCAAAACTGTAGGTAAGTATATTTGTACAGAGTAGGTAAGTTACAAAAATTATGATTACTGCTTAGATATTTCGACCAAAATAGTATTTGCTCCTAATTATTTTTAATCGAGGTTTTAGTTTTAAAGAAGTTTCGTCGAAGTAATTTTAAAATAAGTTTGCTATATTTGCATTTGTACTCCTGTACCACTGACATTATATATTTTGAGAACCTTGAATTTGCTGTGTGACGTCGTGACTTCATGAAAATCTGCTAGCTCGCAGGCCAGATCACATGAACGTCGATGCACGGATTCTTCATGCGCCAAGAAAGCGCAGAGCAGGAAAAAAGAAATAAAATACATTTATCGGCCACACCATAACAATTGCTATCGTAAACTTTCTGCTCTTCGATGAATGAATATGTAGGTACTACCATTAGTACCTACATATTCATTAGTTAAAATTAATCCAATTATAATAAGTTTTCCTCGCGTTGTTAATAAATTTATTTTCTTTGATTTGTCACTAATTGGTGTACATAAAAAAGAAAACTGTTTAAACTGGTAATGTGTAAAGATTTAAAGTTAAGGTTTAAAAAAAAAACAACAATTCCATTTATACATTGAATTTATTTTGAAATGTTTAAATTTCCTTCCAATGACAACACTGAGCTATGTCTCATTATACTGTTATCTCTTTCTAATAGCCTTGGTTCTGAGCTGCAATATTTATCCAGAGACTGGATTTTAATTGGAAAATTAACAATAGAATGGGAGCGAAGTTGAAGATATATGGGAGCTCATCTTGTTCCACAGTTTATAAAGATACAGTATATGACTTACGTCCCTCAATATATTATAGAAGATTTTATTTCATCAAAATTATACGTACGGCGAGTTTATTGATAGGTATTTAAAAATCCCTTTGATGTTTTTTTCTTAAATTCGGTAGTTTGAAATCTATACCAATCTAACATTTAGAATAAGATAGTATATAAACTACAGATCTCTATCAACAATAGGGGTGTAGATACTTTTTATTTTATTTTATAGATATCCATGAAATATTTGAAACTTATTTTAAAAGAGGATCATTAGTTTAATAACTTTAAAATCTAAAAATAAATTTAGCTTTCAAAATTTCCCGGTAACATCAACTTTTATCATGGCGTCGCTATGACGTCATGGCCCTCTGTAGCTAATATCGTTTTATTATGCATAAGGTTCAATTCTCTAAGTCTAAATTTGCATAAGAGGGGCGTGATATCATGCGCTTTATGCAGGCAAAGAGTATAAAATAAGCAATATTATTTTATACTTATACATTAAATATAATAAGTATAAAAGTGTGAATATCGGTAAAAGTATATCAAACCACTACCAGAAAAAATAAAAAATAAAAGTATTTATTTTCGCTTACTGTTGGATCAAGCTAAGATAGCGAAAGGTCGTAGGTTCGTTTCCCGTCTCAGCGTACCAGGGACCGAGTGGATTTTTTAAGCATTTTGTATAAAGAATATATTTCAGTATGGCATTGTGAACGCAAAATTAATCAAAAATATAATATTTTGATATACCTCAAATATAACCTTGTCATTTAAATCAGCACAATGAAAAACATATAAATTTTTATGCTTGCTACATTAAAACACTTCATGGGCAAGTTCAACTCGTACTTGGTTACTTTTTAGTATGTGATACTAATTCACAGTCATTGTTGGCGACCTGTAAAGTAAACTATTTTTTATATTAAAATAAGAAAAAAACCGAAAATATATTATATATTAAGTTTAAAATGGAAAACTGAAAATTAATGATAATATACAATAATATACTTGGCCACTTTAATGTTAGATGCTTTTATGTGTTCTACTGTTAGTTTCTATTATCACCCTGCCGCCCTGAGGATCGTCGAGTCATATCTGTTGGTGGTTTTTAGAGTCAACCAGCGGCGGATTTACACATTCGCCGCCTGTCGGCTGTTAAATGTGCCGCTAAGTAGACTAATGAATTTAAGTTCACACTAATTGTAAGCTTGGAAAGTAAAATTCCATAGTTATATGAAGCTTTTTTAGACATTGAGATATATTTTGATCATTTTTTTTAGATTTCAATTAAAAACTCTGTTATGAATGAATTGTTTTATGCAGTAATATTTATCTCAAATTGCTTCTTACGGAGTAATAATAACATGAACGAAATTCTTTCCATCTTCACAGCTATACAAGTTAAAGACATGTTGATTAAATTTTAAAGGAACAACACGAATACGTAACAACGCCTACTTTATTTATTTGTACGAAACCAATAAAAGTGATTTGAGTTTAGGCGGCCTTTTAAGTTAATGGCGTTAATATAATAAAGTTATATTTAAAATAAACCTATTATTAGTGTAATATCATCGTCAACATTAGCCTATTAATATCCCAGGTCTTTCCTATGTAATTGTTGGGTGATAAATAGTGCACATGTACAACACATGAAAAAGATTTTACGTTTCAAACTTCCATCTACGATTACCCTATAAAGTTCAAGTTTATGTCATCTGAATACTATTTGCACCCAGCTCAAATTACATCGGCACTCTTTAAACAAAAGGAATTGTACACCATCACTGGATCAATCTTTAGGGGCGCGGTTATGACCCCGTTCAAGGTTTTTCGGCTCTGCCGCGTGCTCTTGACACTAGCTGAATATTATTTTCGATTCTATCAATATCACCTGACAGGTCTTTAATGAAGATCAGTTTGGTTGGATGCTGAACATTCTAAAATAATTCAAGCGTTATGTTATTATTATTATACTTAGTTTTTGAGTTGGCATTAACTGCAATTTATTGGAGGGGAAAATCATTAACAAAATTGTTAAATGGACCTTATACATACATAACTTTAACGGCGCGTTAGTTATTTATAAGGAAAAAATATAAATAGTGTATTTCATTTAATTAATTTGTAATAAAGAGGTTGTGTTAATTAATATTTTATAAAAATAAGTTTTATTGTACTCGTAGCTATCCTCTTTTGCTACCTATACTACCTACGAGAAAATTGAAAGTAAAATTAACTATTCAAGACGGAAGCCGAAACAACCGCAACATATTTAGGTTGTTTAATAATATACGAAATAATTAAAATAAATGTACTTCTCACTAACAAATATAAAAATGATATAAAATATAAATAACTGTTCATATATTAAAAAGGTATTGAATTTACCTAAATAATATTTATAAATCGTCACATAAAGAAAAACAGTTATATGTAACGGTGATTAAAAATAAAGTAAATACAAACCAAATACAGAAGTCATTAGACTAATAAGTTCCTTTTGGAAAGCGGAGATGAATATTTATTTTTTAAATAATCGTGAAATAATGTCAAGTTTTCTTAATATTGCGAAATTGATGCATAATAACGACAAACCAGTTCAATATTGATAAAAATTAAATACGTCCATTTGGTGGTGAGATAAGCTAAGAATGATATAAACAGTGCCTAACCTTCAATTTTTAGTTGTATCGTGTTCGTCGCGGCACGTGGTCGAGTCACGTTTTCATTATGTCTGTCGCTAGTCGTCTACTATTATTATTATTATCGTTGTGTATGACCGGCAATGATGCCGCACGAATATTGGCTTTCTATCCGACACCGATGATAAGCCATCAATTTGTTTTTCGTCATTTAACTCTAGAATTACTTAAAAGAGGACATGAATTAGTGGTACTTACTCCTGACCCTATGTTTAAAAAGGGACAAACGCCAGGCAATCTTACAGAAATAAATCTTCATGATGTATCTTACGATGCATGGAAAAAAGGAATTGCCCCGTTTCCTACAACACAAATTCAAGGTAGTAGAGAGAATTTTAAAAAACAATTCAGGCCAATTTATAAGCTTTTTGTGAAAATAGTGGAAATGCAGCTGTCTGCACCTGAAGTACAAGCTATCATGAATGACAAAACAAAAAAGTTTGATTTAGTGTTACTTGAAGCATATATTGATTCGGCTTTAGGCTTGAGCCATGTATTTAAAGCACCAGTTATTCAGTTCAGTTCTGTAGGAGCAGCGTTAAATAATTTAGAAGCAGTTGGGGCACCGATGCATCCATTTTTGTACCCGACGTTGGTTCATTCGAGAATTTTGAATCTTACATTTTGGGAAAAGGTGTCTGAGTTGTGGTTTTTTATCGATCATCTCTTCCTTATGAGAGAGATAAGTTCTGACTCTGACGAGATGCTCAAGCGTCTTTTAGGGTCTAATGTTCCGTCAGTATCAGATTTGAAGAACAATGTGGATATGTTATTTTTGGATGTATATCCAATGTGGGATTTAAACCGTCCTCTGCCTCCTAATGTTATTCTCTTGGGTGGTATACATCAAAACCAGAAAAAAGAATTACCTAAGGTAATTACATTAGTGTTATTAATTGGTAATGATTAACTTTATATGAACACATTTTTCATAGCTCATTAAAATATTTTCTTGCTGGTTTTAGGACCTTAAAGATTATTTGGATTCATCTAAAAGCGGTGTTATATATGTGAGTTTCGGAACAAATGCAGACGCAACATTGTTGCCTCCACACAAAATACAGACGATGGTAAATGTTTTCTCAAAATTACCATATGACATTTTATGGAAATGGAACACTGATGAATTACCAGGACGGACTGAAAATATAAAAATTTCCAAGTGGTTACCACAATCAGATTTGTTAAGTATGTAAACAACCTATGGACTAATGCAACTTCAGAGTCCTATAATTTTTTATTTAAGTAAATATATAAAATAATCTCACAGTATTTCTTGATTAAGCTTATTTTTTTAATTTTAAATAAAATATTTGTAAACTTCTTTATTAATATTTAGATATTTGTTTACATTCTTCTTCTACATACATTTATTTTTATTATGCCATTATAATAACACACATAATAGAAAGATAAGTATCTCGCTCTCGATTATATTTATCTCAGTGATAACTTTCGTATTTTCAGAACACCCAAAAGTTAAACTATTCATCACGCAAGGAGGTATGCAATCAACAGACGAGGCGATCGATGCTGGTGTACCTCTGATTGGTATACCGATGCTAGGTGATCAATGGTATAACGTGGAGCATTATGTTCATCATAAAATCGGTCTTCAAGTTGATATAGAAACAATCACAGAAGAAAAATTAAAACACGCCATTGAACTTATTCTACAGAATGACAGGTAACTATGTTACATTTTCCAAACTGTGAATGTGTCATTTGATGTCATCATCACCGACCTATCGATGTCCGCTAAGGCACAGGTCTTCCCTGTAGATAAAATCGAATCGAATAGAGAAAGAATAGAAGAGGTATTCGATGTCTTTTAGTAATGTTTCTCACAAAACATAATAGTTTTATATTATAGCAGAATCGTTTTATTCAATTGTTTAAGGTTGTTTTTATTCATCACTTGTGTAGGTGTAAAAGATGCGTAATAAGTTTCCATGATCGGCTTCTTTATTCCATTCAGGATTAGGAAGTTAAAAATGGTTATTGAAAATAGGTTAGAGAAGTCAATTGATTGTTAAGTAAAATATTTGGTTAAGTGGTTTTATTCCTATTATTTTAAATTTTCAGTTATCGTCAGAACATAATTAAGCTCAGGACATTAATAAGAGATCAGCCTCAGACCCCGTTAGAACGAGCCGTGTGGTGGACGGAGTATGTGATAAGACATGGTGGAGCGAAACACCTGCGCTCACCTGCTGCAAACATGTCCTGGACAGAATACCTGGAGTTAGAACTAGTGTTATTTTTACTACTGTCTATTGCGTCAGTGAGCGTTGCATTTATATTTATCTGTTACAAACTTTACAAGAAATTATTTAGTCACAAAATTAATAATAAAAAAATTAAAAGGAGTTGATCATCCTAAATTTTTTCTCATAAAGATTATTACATAGTTGACGTAATGTGTTAACTTTGACTTTTAAAAGTCCAAAGGAGTACTTGAAATTCAATGTGTAGGTATCATATGAATTGATATTTTTTTTTACTTTTAGATCTCAATTTATATATTTGTTCAAAATAAATACTATTTTTTTAAATATATTAAAAATTTTCTTTATTTGTAAACAGATAAATTAATATTAGACAACGTTACATAATTAACTCGGATTATGGAAATATTGCATAAAGAATCTATCACAACGCCCAGACAAGAGACGATAAAAAAGTTCATTTTATTGATTGAAATGAAATTTTATATTCTCTTCCGTCATTATATCTGACTGGAAATTGAACCCGGGATCTCAGAGATGACGACAAAAAATATGTAATCAGTACACATTTAATATTGTCTCGGTTTTATTAACCTGTTAATATATCTGAAAATTGATGATTTTTAGAGCAACAATATCTATACTACTATTAAAGTAGGCAATAGCAAACATGGCAATGTTAATAGCTATTAAAATACATTTTAAATTAAAAAAAAAAACCTATTTAAATATGAAGAGTACAGTATATTCAAATATATTAAGTTTATAAAATGTTTTTTTTTGTAAATATGTTTTATTACTTTATCATCGGAAAAGAATGAGCTCCAATAATCATTTTTGCCTGTATATCAAACATCCAAAACTTCACATTGCATTAAATTAAATAAAATATTAGTTTAAATTATGATTAGATTATATTTTGTATCAACAAATTAATTTTACCAGTGTCACCAGCCTATGATGTAACATCCTGTCGGTGAAATAATTTTAAAATTGGACCAGTAATTTCAGATATTCCTGGATACCTAGCCATTACTTCGTTCATATTGGAATTTCAAAAGGTGACGTGTCGGTACATAGTTGCTAAAGCTTGAAAATCAGATAAATTCGTGTAAGGTCGTGAAAAATTAATACGTGGAATTTTGTTATATTACTTTGTAGGAAGTAAGTAGTCATTGCAATGAAATTAGAAAATAAGGAAATATATAAATACATGCAAGCAGGTGTAGAAACAATAATTTTGTAATATAATAACGATAACAATAATAATTAAGACAAAAGAAAAACACGAAACCCAAAGGCGAAACCGAAAAGTTGGAAATATAACTTTTCGATTCATCTCATTAAAAAGGAAAAGATAAATGTACAAATCAACAGAGAAATAAAGAAAGACCTAAAATCACGAGGGGAAGCTCAGCATAAATAAAAAAAATGAGTAAATTATTTATTTAGATCGTAGATTTTTCATAACAGATCCTTCTTCATAGAGTGCCTGTAAGTGAATATCAGTCTTCCTAAATAGAACTTCTTAAGAACGTGCACTCGCTATTCAGACTTCCATTTTCGCATTTTAATAAATTTGTAGACTCGACCTTTTTTTCCTTCCAACATTTCTCTTCCCAACTATTTTACAAAATATTCGAAGTTGGAGAAGTTTGTTTACCGTAGAGTTTTATCATTCATTGTTATCTAAATTGCAAAAATATTTCATAAGATTTTATAAAATACAACAGAACTGTTCTATAGATTGTGACAACCATCATATATGGATTTCGGAAAACAAACGCGACATTGGTAACTTTATCCTCGGTTCATATCATGTATGTCATCGATCAAGTCGAGATTAAATTATATGACGAAAGCTAATGGATTGTAGACGATCACTCTAAGCGACGTCATGTGTTCGGGTCAAATAAGTGGAATGTTGTAAGATTTATCTCTATTGTAGTAATAGAGATTTGTATTTTATTCAACTAGTATTATTAGAGATATAATTTCGATACTACGATATCTAGCAACACCCACATCCAGTCAGTACCTGCAAGACTTGCTGTGCACAAAAATTCACATGCACTAATCTTATGACAATCACACTAGACGTGTTTTGACCCACCACGGAGCATCCTGCGAAGTTGTTTTCCCTTACAGTGCACTGTACAAGATGCACAGTAAATCTAGCAGATAAAACTGAATGTGAAACTTACTAAGCATCATGGTTTCACAGTTAGAGCAATGGACTTCCGCAAGATAACGCCTGATATAATCAAATAGTTAATATATGTTATCAAAGAGCATATACATTTTATTTGTTTTTATGGTGTTCTTTGAAATAATATATTATAAAGGCTCATTAATAATGAGGAAAGAGACCGTAAAAATTGGCTTTTTAATACTAGCTGACCCTATGATATTTTTTTAGTGTTAGATACACTAAAAAATTAGATACACTAACAAGACTACAACAAGAATAAAATATTTTCTCTTTATAATGTAATTATGACTGGCAATCACAAGTATCGTTGTACTTATGTTCTGTATGGAGAAAGCTTTTTCAATATCTCGTCCTTGATTTCTTTTACTATTTGATAAGAAAATAACATTCCTTTATTTTCTAATAACGAGTTTCTTCCCTAGAATTAATTGCTGTTGTTCCCTGTTTGTTCTGCTCCCGTGCCCTGTGCGATGTATTTACCTATTTATTTTATCAGATTTACCGAACACCACATTATTATTAATTCTATAGAATACCCTTTTAACGCAGTGGAAATTCAACCTTAGGCTCTAAACCACGGCTCTCCGACCCCGCACATATCCTAAAAAGGACGGACTTAAGGCTCTCTTGTACTTCCGTTTACGTTCCCTTACAAATACGCATCGAGACTACAGAGACGCTCGTTTGATTTTATACATTCTTAATTTCAGAAAAAACCTAATGCACTTATAAAATAATCTTTAGATCATTTTAGGTTATAATCAAAACAAAAAATCGATCCAAGAAAGCTTATTTTTTATCGAACCAATTATGAAATTTATGTTTCTGTTTTTTGCAAACAGTCGACCAATTGTTTTATTTTCATAAAATAGTAAAACATATGGTATTTAGCAAATGTTAATATAGCTTTAGATTTAAATAAGGTTTAATAAGTGGTAATTTCATAATATCACTGCTTAAGCGGGATCGGCGTACCTGGTAAAACCCTCAAGAGGGTAAAAGATCCGGGATCCAGCAATAGCCCGCCTGCCAGGTCCAGTTCCACTATTCTATACAATACAGTAATGTATAGAGTATATCAAACATTTTATACTTATAATGAATGAAACATGATTCATAAATTATAGTTTTGGTCTAGATCTAAGTATTCTATACGATACCAAATTTGCAACAACCAGTAATTAATTAATTAATTAATGAACGCACATATGAAAAGAAAAATCAACATAACAATTTACCATAAACATATTAACAGTACAATCTGCGGAATTATTGCTAAAAAGCAATATCTACCAGGCAACCTAAAGTTAGGTTGGACATTTACAAAAAAATGTGTGTTAGAAATGTTTTCGTTTTTAATAAACAGTACATCTGAACTCATTTTTCCAAGCACGGCGGAGGTCGAGATAGTAAATTTTTGGTCACCCATCCTATGACCGGCCCTTGCGAAAGTTTTTAACAACCATATCGCAAACCGAATGCGATAACCACTGCACCATCGAGCTTTTAGTATTGCGTAAGTATTGTAAAGAAGCAGAATTACAAACATTACCGGTGACATATACAAAAATGAATTTACATAATTATAATTTTAGATCTATTATACTTTCTATCTACTATGTTTAAACATACCATTATATAAAATAGCAATTTTTCTTTCGTCGAGTTAAAATACAAAGTTTTTTTCTTATATAAAATGTACGTAATTATCTTTTAAAAAAATATCCTTATTGCTAATGGCCTCTCCAGATTGTAGATAAGGAAAATCTGGTTGACAACGAATTCTCTTGTCCCTATTTCCGAGGAGACATCCATCAATCAGACATAGATTATATAATAATAATGACGTGCGTTGATAGATGGTAAACTATTTGACCGGCTTCCGAGGTTGAGGTCGTTTATTTTTGGAATCAATGGATTTTGCTAGCCATTCGGACGTCTGTAGGTACAGCGGAAAACTTTGGAGGGTTTCATTTTATTAGAAAACTCATAATAGAGAATTATGAGTATACGTAGCGCTCCTTTGAATTTGTTTAAGGCAAAAATAAATATGCGGTACTAACTGCCAAAATACATTTAAATAAGATGAAGAGGTAGAATCAAATATATGACTGAATACTGAGAACTGACTATAATACTGAGAATAGTGACCAAAGTTTATTAAATAAATGTTAGATATAATAATACTAAAAAAACGCGGATAAAATTAAATAGAGCAATTTTTTTCTATTCAGAGGAATTATTAATAGTTAGTTAAAATAGGTTAATTTTGGATAATTGAAATTATAACTAGTAAAATGGAATATTTTTTTCTTTAATGTAAATTCCAAACATCGCGAAAGCAAAATAACTAAGAAAAACATTGTAATTTAGTTTAAAAAAAATGTTTAATCAATTTAATCTTTGGAAGCAAATATGTCGAATCCGATTTAAATTTGTGTCCAAAAGTATTTAACAATAAATTAATTAACATTACGTCCGCCGGTCAGCGTCAACAGTCCTAAGTATACAAGATTTTAAATTATAATGAAACGCCTTTAAAGACTTCCGTGACATATAATCTGGCACCTAAATAAGCACCGAGAAGCGCTGAGAACCGCTTCATTTTCTATTTACTTAAACGTTTTCGAGTATTCGCTCTCCTCCGTGGATGCGCTGAAAGGAAGCGCTTTGTCCGCTTTGGGTGTCATTTTGATTTATTATTCTGGTGAAGTTAGGTGTTGGTTGAGTACTCCAAAGCTCTTGTCACCAGTAGACATTTCATTTATTACAGTAAATAGCTATGACAGTGTAAAAATCATTGAACGGTATTAAATTTCTATGATGCAATTATCTCAACATGAAGTTGACTTCTTTTTGATATCTGATTCGATTCCCTATCGATTCAATGTAGTTTTGGCCATCGGAAATATTTATTTATTTATTTAGTACAAC